CACAGAATCAAGATCACGCGAAGTATTAGTACCGCTTTATAAAGTCTTAGTAAGGCCACACCTGGGACACCTGCATCCAGTTTTGGTCACCACAATATAAAAAAAGATGTTGAACAAAGATGATCAAAGGCCTGGAGGCTAAAACATCTGAAGAACGGTTGCAGGATTTGGGTTTAGCCAGTCTAGAGAAAAGAAGGACTGGGGGGGGGGACATGACAGCAGTCTTCCAGTATCTGAGGGGCTGCCACAAAGAAGAGGAAGGGGGTCAAGCTATTCTCCAAAGCGCCTGAAGGCAGGACAAGAAGCAACAGATGGAAACTGATCAAGGAGAGAAGCAACCTGGAATTAAGGAGAAACTTCCTAACAGTGAGGACAATTAACCAGTGGAACTGCTTGCCTCCAGACGTTATGGGTGCTCCATCACTGGAAGTTTTTAAGAAGAGACTGGACAGTCAGCTGTCTGAAATGGCATGGGGTCTCCTGCTTGAGCAGGGGGTTGGACTAGAAGACCTCCAAGGTCCCTTCCAACTCTGGTATTCCATATTCTGTATATCTGTGTGTGGACTTCAACTCCCAGAATCCACCAGCCAGCCACAAGGGGACTCTATCCCCTTCCCCTAAATCCTGTCATCTGATGTGAACTAGGAAGCCTGCCCTTTCTGTGGCAGACCCTACCCCATGGAGCCCCCTCCCTGATGAAGCTCAGCAGGCTTCCACCCTCCTTTCCTTCCGTAAAACTTTGAAGAACTAGATTTTCCCAAAGGAAGAAGGGATTGCAAATCAGAAGATTGACTTGCCATCCCGTCTTTAATGTGAATTTTTGATGTAAAGTTTTAATGTGCTTAGTTTTATAGCTTCGATGTGATGATGATGATGATGATGATGATGATGATGATGATGATGATGATGATGATGATGATGATGATGGAAGGAACCCCTGGAGGTCTTTTGATCCAACCATTTGCTCAAGGCTGCAGACCCTCTATCATTCTGGACAAATGGCTGTCCAGTCTCTTCTTAAAAACTTCCCGTGTTGGCGCGTTCACCGCTTCTGGAGGCAGGTTGTTCCACTGGTTAATTGTTCTCACTGTCAGGAAGTTTCTCCTTAGTTCTAGGTTGCTTCTCTCCTTGATGAGTTTCCGTCCATTGCTTCTTGTCCTGCCTTCTGGGGCCTTGGAGAATAGCTTGACTCCCTAACTTTGGGGCAGCCCCTGAGATACTGGACCACGGCTATCATGTCCCCCCTTGTCCTTCTCTTCATTAAACTAGACATACCCAATTCTTAGGAATAGAATAGAATAACAGAGTTGGAAGGGACCTTGGAGGTCATCTAGTCCAACCCCCTGCTCAGGCAGGAAACCCTGTACCATTTCGGACAAATGGCTGTCCAGTCTCTTCTTAAAAACTTCCAGTGTTGGAGCATTCACAGCTTCTGGAGGCAAGTAGTTCCACTGGTTAATTGTTCTAACTATCAAGAAACTTCTCCTTAGTTCTAGGTTTGTTTCGTGTGTCATTTTAACTATTGGACTGGAATCTGTCCATTTTAAGGTGGGTCACTATATAAATGTTCCAAATGGAATGAATGAATGAATGAATGAACGAACGAATGAATGAATGAACGCGATACTCCTCCGTCTTCCTCCGGTGGCTGGCTCCCCCTGCTGATCAAAAAGGGGAAAACACTTTAGGGATTGAATTCCCACGCCCCTTCCACTTGGCAACCCAGCCAATTGACCTGGTGGTCTCCCATCCCACCACCCTTACGCCCTTTAAGATCTGCACAGTTGAGTCGATGAGGGAAAGGATGAGGATGAGAGAGGGGGAAATATAAACGTACTTATGACGGCTGCGAATCCCTTTGTCTATCGGTCTTAATTTTCTTCCTCCTTGCTTGCTTTCTTTTTCACTTTCTTCACGCATGCTTCCCTCTGCTTTTTTATTCTTCAATTTCAAGTTTGTGTAATTTTCATTCAGGTGAACGTGTCTTTCTCAAAAATAATTGAGAAAGAGAGAAAGATCAGCCCGACCCAGTCCCTGACTTACGAGCACAACGGAGCCCAAAGGTTTCGTCGCTATGTGAGAGATTAGTTAAGCGAGTTTTGTCCCATTTTACGACCTTTCTTGACACAGTTGTTAAGTGAATCACCGCAGTTGTTAAGATTGTAACACGGTCGTTGAGCGAATCCAGCTTGCCCCATTGACTTTGCTTGTCAGAAGGTTGCAAAAGATGATCACGTGACCACCACCACCCCGGGATGCTGCGACTGTCATAAATATGAGTCAGTTGGCAAGTGTCCGAATATCCAATCACGTGATCATGGGGAGGGTGCAAGGGTCGTGTGAAAAATGTTCGTCACTTTTTTCAGTGTTGTTGTAACTTTGAACGGTCACTAAATGAACCGTTTTAAGTCCAGGACTGCCTGTATGGCCCCTTTTACAACCTGTGGACTTCAACTCCCAGAATTCCTCAGCCAGCATGGGGGAACCATGGCCCTTTTATGACTTGTGGACTTCAACTCCCAGAATTCCTCAGCCAGCATGGTGGAACCATGGCCTTTTTATGACTTGTGGACTTCAACTCCCAGAATCCCTCAGTGAGCATGGGGGAACTATGAGTCTTTTATGACTGGTGGACTTCAACTCCCAGAATCCCTCAGTCAGCATGGGGGAACTATGGGTCTTTTATGACTGGTGGACTTCAACTCCCAGAATCCCTCAGTCAGCATGGGGGAACTATGGGTCTTTTATGACTGGTGGACTTCAACTCCCAGAATCCCTCAGTCAGCATGGGGGAACCATGGCCCTTTTATGACTTGTGGACTTCAACTCCCAGAGTTCCTCAGCCAGCATGGTGGAACCATGGCCCTTTTACGACTTGTGGACTTCAACTCCCAGAATTCCTCAGCCAGCATGGGGAACCGTGGCCCTTTTACGACTTGTGGATTTCCAATGCTGGCTGAGGAATTCTTGGAGTTGAAGTCCACAGGTTGCAAAAGGGGCCATACAGGTAGTCCTTGACTTTCGATTCATTTAATGACCATCCAAAGTGACAACGGCACTGAAAAAAGTGAGTTATGGCCGGTTTTCACACTTACGACCGTTGCAGCATCTCCGTGGTCAAGGGATCAAAATTCAGATGATTGAAAATTGGTTCATATTTATGACGGTTGCAATGTCCCCCTTTTGCAAAGTCCATGGGGGAAACCAGATTCACGGAACAGCCGTGTTACTAACTTAACAATCGCAACGATTCGCTTCGCAACAGTGGCAAGGAAAGTCGTAAAGACGGGCAAAACTCACTTAGCAAATGTTTCCACGAGCAACCTAAGTTTTGGCGTCAATTGTGGCCGTAAAGCGAGGACCACCTGTATTTATTAAACAAGTGCAGATGGCTGCCCGACTTGCACACAGGAGAATCCAGGCGGCCTACAACACGAAAAGTTCACAACACAAAAAAACCCCATAATCAACCCACCGCTTGATCAGCTCTTTCTCCGTTCGGGGTCCCCAGGCACGGGGACAAAACCACGTCTTCATGGCCGTTGGGAAAGCTGCAGGGTGGGGGGTGAATTGTAACTGGGGGTTGGGGGGGGGAGAGTTGATGTCCTCAAGGGGCTTATTGCAAGATTCAGCTGCAGGCCTCTGCTTGAATGGGTTGGAAATGAGAAGGGGAGGAGGGAAAGGAAGGGACGATCCGTCCTTAACTGTACATTTTATCAGGGCTCCTCGGGGCTCTCTGAGCTGGCTTATTTTCTTGCAGACACTTCAGACACTAGGTAACATCATCAATGCTAATAAGGGGGGCAGTTTGCTGTCTCTTTATATTGTGGGGTCTTGCCTGTCTGGATGGATGGTGGAGATCTTAGGGATTTTGAATAGAATAGAATAGAACAGAATAGAGTGGACAGAATGGAATGGAATATAGAATGGAACGGAATATAGAATGGAATATAGAATGGAATGGAGTGGAATGGAATATAGAATGGAGTGGAATGGAATGGAATATAAAATGGAATGGAGTGGAATGGAATATAGAATGGAATGGAATATAGAATGGAATGGAGTAGAATGGAATATAGAATGGAATATAGAATGGAATGGAGTGGAATGGAATATAGAATGGAATATAGAATGGAGTGGAATGGAATGGAATATAGAATGGAATATAGAATGGAATGGAGTGGAATGGAATGGAATATAGAATGGAATGGAATATAGAATGGAATGGAGTGGAATGGAATATAGAATGGAGTGGAATGGAATGGAATATAAAATGGAATATAGAATGGAATGGAGTGGAATGGAATATAGAATGGAATGGAGTGGAGTAGGAGAGGAATGGAGAGAAGAGGAGAGCTAAGCTGGAAGGGACCTTGGAGGTCTTCTAGTCCAGTCTCCTGCTCAAGCAGAAGTAGCTGTCCAATCTCTTCTTTAAAACCTCCAGTGATGGAGCGCCCACGATTTCTGGAGGCAAGCCATTCCACTAGTTAATTGTCCTCACTGTCAGGAAGTTTCTCCTTAAATCCAGGTTGCTTCTCTCCTTGGTCAGTTTCCAACCATTGTTTCTTATCCTGCCTTCAGGTGCTTTGGAGAAGAACGTGACCCCCCTCCTCTTCTTTGTGGCAGCCCCTCAAAACTTGAATACTTTGCTTGGGCTGTTTACTAATGGCTCCTTGGCAGTTTCTTGATTGGGGAATAGCTTTCTTGATTGTTGGCCTAATGGTGACCTTGGAGTTAATCTATGCTGATCTGAGTGCTGATAACTGGTGGAGAGGTGCTGGAGTCTGTTCCTCTTTTGGGCTGCTTTGATTGCCTCTTTTGCATAATCCATAGAAGCTGTTAATGTCTCTGTGTCTATGGATGGTTAATTAGTCAGAGTGCCAGGTTTCTAGAAACTCCCTGGCAGTTTTGGATCTCGCCTGGTCTAGGATGGTCACATTTTCTCAGTTGAAATTATGGTTAACTCTGTCCGTATGTTGTAAAATGAAAGAGTTTTCGTCATGTCTTCTGACTGCCAGTTGGTGTGCATGGATGCCTTCTGCCTGTCTTCTGCCTGCTTGTCCTACAACGTGGGTGTTGCAGTCCTTCCCGCTGTATGTTGTAGGTTACTCCTGTTTTTTCTTCTGGGGTAGCTGGGTCTTTGGCTTTGCTTAGGATGCTGGGCTACTAAATAACCATCACCTTTCTAGCTAAAAGTCCGCAATAGAGGGGCAACCAGCTCACCTCAGAGATCCCTTCCAAGTCTGTTATTCCATGATTCTGTAAGGGTCTCCTGCTTGAGCAGGGGGTTGGACTAGAAGATCTCCATGGTCCTTCCCAACTCCTGTTATTCTATGATTCTAAAAAGTGGATGCGTAATCTTCAAAGGGATTTTCTCCTGGCCACAACTAGATGGAGTATGGTGAGAATGTCTACCAGGGTGGGACCCTGGAGCATTCTGGGCAGTCCTCCCACATCCAACTCGGGTCTGCTGCAACTGGAGAGCCCACAGGGAAAGGTCAGCCAAGGAAACGTCTATTTGTTGCAAATCTTCCGATGGACCATTAGATAGTCCTCAACTTATAACGGCAATTGAGCCCAACTTTTCCGTTGATAAGCAAGACAATTATTAGTTTTGCCCCATTTTACGGCTTTACAGCATCCCTGCAGGTAAGTTAGTAACAGGGGTTGTTAAGCGCACACACACACCCCTGTTGACTTTGCTGGTCAGAAGGTCAAGTTACAAGTGTTTGTTGTGTGGCTGTCACAACAGCACTGAAAGAAGTGACTTATGACCGGTTTTCATACTTAACGACCGTTTGGAGCATTTCCAACCCCACCACCAATTCAGCCCGTGTGTGTTTGCACGGTCGCCCGGCCACCCTCTGCAACCTTCGAGCGAGCTTCCAACGTGTGAAGTCAACGGGGGGGAGCTGGATTCACTTAACGACCAGGTGACTCACTTAACAACCTTGGCCGGAAAGGTGTCCAAAACAGGACAAAACTCTTTGTCTATCAACTGCCTGGCTTAGCAATGGAAATGTTGGACTCCGTTTCGGTCCTAAGACGAGGTCTACCCGAATTTACACTATGCGGATGGACGGAGCGGGGGGGGGGG